GCACGTACTATGTGCATAGATTGGCATACATACGTCCGTATGTACATACATACATGCATATACATATACATATACATATACATATACATATACATATACATATACATATACATATACATACATACATGCATACATACATACATACATACATAACATACATACACACGTACATACATACGTACATACATACGTACATACATACATACCTACATACATACGTACATGCATACGTACCTACATACATACGTCCATACATGCATACGTCCATACATGCATACATACATACACACATACATACATACATACATACATACATACATACATACATACATGCACACTACTGCAAGTGTATGTCGGTGCCAAAAATGTTTCACACTTCTGTACGCATGTGTTTACACATATAGACTTGGATACACATACATATGTTCCTACCATGTATGTGTAACTGCTCTCTCTCTCTCTCTCTATCGTTTGCCGTTTGCAAGGCGCTCCAAGAGTTCGACGAGCGGTCTGCCTGGCTTTCAGAGGCCGCTGATGATGAAGGCCTCAGAGGGGGGGTTTCAGAGTTAGGGCTTGGGAGGGTTCGGGGGGTTCCTTTAAAAGGGTTCCTTCAAGGGTTCTGTAGGCGCTACTATAAGGGTTTAGTAGGGGCCTGTAATAATTAGAATACGGGTTTCGGGGTGTAGGGAGGAGGGTTTCAGCTTTCGGGCTTTAGGTGGTGCTTAGGGTAGGGCGGGCTTGTGGCTCCAGGATTCACGGTTGAGGGTGGGCTTGTCGACTTGCGGATTTCCTACGTCGCATGTTTTCTCCAGTAATGCCTGCCATGTATCGTTCCAGAAGCGCGCTCCGTTTTTGGCAAAAATCAGTCTCAATCTTTTGCCAAACTGTGCAGGTGCCAGACCCCGAGTCAAAATTCCTGCAGCCCTAAACCCTGAACCGTCTGAAACCTAACTCCTAAAAAAGACCCCTATCCTGATCCTCCAGTGCGACGGGGTTCACACCTTAAAGCCAGCACATGCGGGAACCCTAGAGCCCTCCCAAATCTTGTAACTCGTAGAAACATTCTTGACACCCAAAGGAAAAACAAAACCCTAAACCCTAAACCCCTAAACCCCTAAACCCTAAACCCCTAAACCCCTTAACCCTAAACCCCTAAACCCTAAACCCCAAAGCCTACACCCGAAAACAAAACGCTTGAACTTGGAGCCCTCCAGCTGCGGCGCTGCCTGCAGAGCTGCTGCGGGCCGTCAGAGAGCGCCTGGCGGCACGACTCCAGGCGGGGAAGTTGGCTTTGCCAAACGGCTTTACCCAGAGACTCCGATACCCCTTGATTAAGGAATATACCTTAAAATTAGGGATCCAACTATAATTTACGGTATATTCCTTAATTAAGGGATAATGGAGTCTCTGAGTATGGCGTGAGTTCCTAAACCCTAATCCGTAGCCTTAAACCCGCTACAGACCTTGCCAGGCTTTGTCCGAGTATGAGTGTCAAAACCCTAAACCCTACTTGGAGGTTCATGGGTAGTCATAAGTAGGGTCATAAGTCCCCTAATATGGGTTATAACTATAGTTATCCTACTTACGACCCCACTCACAACTACCCATGAAGCGCCAAGTAAGGGCTCTATACAGAGCCTGTCGGGTGAGAGCAAGGCAGGTTTGCACGGACCACATGTCTGGCATCGCTCTGAGGAACCATTTGGGGAACCCACGGAACCCTTAAAATAAATCCAACATCAAACCTTCAAGACGGTTCAGGGCTTTAGGGTTTTGTTTAGGGTTTAGGGTTTCGGGAAACCCAAAATCAATGAAAACACCGGTAGTACTTGTGAGACGCTCCGAGGATCTCTGCTTGCTGACGGTCGTGTTTGTGGGTTTTGATTCTGCTCTGAGGGTGGTTACTTTGACTACTGGCCTGGGTTGAGATCTGTGGAGTGGTAGTCGCAGCCTAATGTGTCACACAGACCCGCACCATCCGCACCATGGACCTCTCCTGGCATGTCCGAGTTGTGAGACTCCTTAATTACAGTATATGGAGATCCCCAATATGATTTCCTTATACCTTCAACCCTAAGCCCTAAACCCTAAACCTTTAACCCTAAACCCCCAGGGCAGAACATTCCTTTAGCGCCTTAAACTCTAAACCTTCATAACTTCATAACCCTAAACTCCAAGGGAGAACATTCCCTACAGTAACGGATTTTGGAGTCGGAAGCCAGGGCATCGCAGAGGCCGTTGCGCGAGGGCGGCAGGAGCCCGCTGCTTCTTCGGGAGGGGTTCGTTTAGGGTTTCGGATTTTTGGCTTTAGGGTTTAGGGGTTCAGGGTTTAGGGTTTAGGGGTTTAGGGTTTAGGGTTTAGGGTTTCAGATTTTGGGTTTTCGGGGTTCGGTGTCGCAGCCCGCCGGTCGCAAGGGGTTTAGGGGGTTCGGGGTTTCGGGTGAAGAAGGAAGGCCTACCCTTGCTGCTAAGAGTTGGATAGGGGTTTAGGGCTTTGGGTTTAGGGTTTAGGGTTTAGGGTCTAGGGTTTAGGGGCGTATTGTTGCTGGTCGGCACCGGCCCTACCACCTCATCACCTGTGTCCAGAAAGTTAACCACCACGACCCCCAACTCAGCTGCGGAGTCATTCGTGATGGTCGGTTCTGGGTCGGTGAACTCACTGAGCCAAGCCGGGTAAGCACACTGGGTGTTTCAACACATGCCACTGCGTGGAACAACGAAGGTGGTCCTCTTCATGGCTAACCGTGTAGACAGATGCCACGGAACGATTCCATAGCACCGGGGAAATTTCGCCTGCAGTGTCTATACCTCAAGTCGCACCAATCAAAACTCGGACAGAAAACTTGAGAGCCCGGTAAGACTCAAGCCCTAGAGCCCTTGAGTGGAGTGCAATATTCAATGTAGCACATTCAAATCATTCCGGCAGACTCACACATACATACATACATACATACATACATACATACATACATACATACATACATACATATATATAAATAAAGATGTAAACCTACACCTGTAGGTATGTATACATATATAGGTATTGATATCGATATAGATATAGATACAGTCGTAGATATAGATAAAGTAACCATTCGTCAAGGTGGACTGTGGCAGTATGTCTACGGGAGTGCTACGCTGTGGTATATGGGAGTTTCCCAGACAAGGGAAATGAGGATTCCCTAAACCCTAAACCCTAAACCCTAAACCCTAAACCCTAAACCCTAAAAACCCTAAACCCTAAACCCTAAACCCTAAACCCTGAACCCACCCGAGGGCACGAGGTCAGGGTGTGCATCAACCCTGAATCTTCCACGCCAAAACCCTGAATCCTAAATCCCAGGTTCTAATCCTTCAAACCCCGGAGTCCTAACCCCTAAACCCTGAACCCTAAACCCCTAAGCCCGAAACCCTAAACCCTAAAACCCCTAAACCCCTAAACCCCCCTAAACCCTAAACCCCCTAAACCCTCAACTCTTGAATCCTGAAGCCCTAAAGTGCAAGCCTTAAGCCCGAAACTGAGGGCCCGGATGAAGCCCTAGAGACCCCGGAGACTCCAATACCCCTTAATTAAGGAATATACCTTAATGGACCCGTAGGGTTTAGGGTTTAGGGTTTAGGGTTTAGGGTTAAATCATATTAGGGATCCTACTATAATTTGCGGTATATTCCTTCATTGAGGGATAATGGAGTCTCTGGGGCTCTTGAGCCCTCCAGCCAGTCAGGAAAGTGCGGCACTCCGGCGACAGGGCTCCGTTCTTCGGCTTTTGGCTTCGAGGTTCTGTCAGGGTTTCTACTCGAGTTGACTAGGCCTTTCTAGGCTTTTTCGAGGGTTGCGGGGGCATTTTAGTTTTTTTTTTTTTTCCTGGATTTTGGGGTTTGGCATTTTCATGAGCGGACCGCGTGGCTGAGAAAGGTTTGAGGTTGAGACCGGTTTTCGGCAGCTGGCGTTTTGAGTGGTTTAGAGCTCCATGACGCAGGCCCAAGCCCAACAATGAAGGCGCTTGCCATTAAGATCCATTATGGACTTAAGAGTTCAGGATTGTCACTGCCATTTTTAGCACTCAGACTCACGTCATAGTCGCCGGCTGAGGGGGTTTGAGGTGCAGGTGGGGCCGCACGTGGAAACGGTCACCATGCATGACCATGTCCTATCTTCTACCCCAGACCTAGCCACTTTAAAGCTATCTAGCAGGGTGCCGACGGAAGTTCTGGTCAGATTAGAACACCTGCCCTATATCCATTACAATAGTCCGAAACCCCAAATCCTGAAACCATGAGCCGCAAAGCCTAAACAACCCCGAGACTCTGAATCCTGAGCCTAAACAGAACTTGCATCGTAGACTCTAGGCCGGAAGCGCATCAGCCTGAACCCTAGGCCCTAGACCTTGCATCCTGGAGCTACTTTCGACAGTGGTGCCAGAAAAGGCCAGGAACCCTAAAGCCAAAGCCTTTCCACCCCTAACCCTAAGCCCCATCTCACCCCTAACCCTCACCCAAAACCCCCCAAAAGAACCCTAAACCCTAAACCCTCACCCGAAACCCCAAAACAGAACCCTAAACGCCTGAATCCGAAGCAAAGGCGTCCCGGCGCGACCGTGGAACGCCCTCCCGGCTCGAGCTCTCTCCGGGGTCGCTGGAGTTCCGGACACCACAGCGTGAGGGTGCATTCGGCTTCGGGGCTGGGAGGGTCGGTTTAGGGTTTAGGGTTTAGGGTCTGTCCCCAGCTGATTGGCAGAGTCTGGGTTCAAAAAGGGTCTGTCCCTCTGGGGCCCTCTGTTGTTGCACCATGGCAAGAACATGGAAGCGGCAAGCCCTGAACTCGAAAAGGCCCTGCTCTCGATGTGATCTTGTGTAGCAGAGGGTCAAGGGCCGATAACAAAGGCGGCGCTGAACGCAAAACTCCATCGTGCAGCATCGTAAATGCAATCCTGAACTTGCGCGGAATGCCTACACCCTAAATCCATAGCCTGGGCTTTGGTTATGTCCGCTATCCAAAACACCTTAGAACACATACACAATTTGCAACAACTTAGTAACTATGTCGCATGTATATATATATATACACATACAAAATGAGATGTGCATGTGTATGTGTATGTGCGTGTGTATGTGTATGATTGCGAGACACGCTTGCCTCAGGGTAACAGGGGCTAGATCCCCCCACTCAGCTGCTGACCTTGCTTGATCATGCTGCGAATGCAAGGGCACGCGTGGCAAGGGGCAGCGTAGTAAAAAAAGTTGAACACAAAAACACCATGTCCAGATTCGAAAGTCCGGACAGGACTCCGACGCCGCCCCAGACGCCCAGTCGGCGAAGGAAGGGGTTACTGCGGCTTCTGCGGGCATGCTGGTTTTGCGCTTGAAATTGCATGATGACAGAAGTTCTACTGGCAAGATGAACAGCAACAACCAGAACGAAGAACAAGTATTGACTGAAATACAGTATGAAAGACGATGACGACCCCTGCTGCTGCTGCTGCTCCTGCT